TAAAAATATATAGAATTCTTTACCCAGAGATCTGCCGAGGACACGATTTTGCGCCATTGGCGCTAAAAAAATGAGAATGGCGAATGAGAATGAAAGTTACCATGTAGGCATAATTTTTTATTATTGGTTAAGTACTGAATCATAAGTGAACCACTTGTCATAAAATATGATTTAAGTTTTATTACCAGGGAAATTCAATTATCTACAAACTTTTTAACAGTTATTTAGGTCAATGTTTACTTATTTTCCCAAGGCCCATACTTCGGTAAAAATGACAAATCATTTTCAGACCAAGTGGGCCCAGGGCCCAGTACTTTCAAATTCTTGGCAAATCTCTGTATATCAATAAATTTTCAATGTCAGTTCTAGTTGGACGCCGCCGTTTTCAATGTAACTCAATAATAATAGGCAAGGTATTCCTACAGCGAACAATCGCAACTTTTCGTATTGATAATAATCATCAAGGGTTCCGAGTGAAACCAGAAGCGATGCATGTTATACCGAATGACACCTTTAAAATGGAAATATAAACAGTTTTTTTACCAACTTCCCCGTTCATAGGCTTTGCCTAATTTCATATTAATAATCATCGAATGTTCGGAGTGAAAATGAAAGTGGTGCATGAAATACCGAATCACTCCTTTAAAACGGAAACAGGGATCATTCTGGTCAGGATTTTTAGTGAGAGATTTTCTCTCATTTGGCAAATATTAATGAGAGAAAATAGGTTTTGTTGAGATATTTAATTTTCATGATGGGGGAGGTTTAAATTATGGAAATTTCTAACTTTTTAAAAATAAGCAAACATATAAACATTGTTTTTCAAATGATGAAATAAAAAGATTTATTTATTATGTAGTGATTTTTCAACTTTTTAAAACATTACATGCCTTTTCTTTTGTGACTTATTAAACATAATAAAATTCTAATTGTGAAAAGATATTACACCTCAATTCTGAAATATTAAAGATCTACCAGAACAATTACCGTAAAGTTCCTAATAAACGCCCCTCCCCTAATAAAAGCCCCCCAGGCTTTTTGATATGGAAAAAAATCTGCTCATGAGTGGTGAACTCTTTAATAAATCCGTAATCTTATTCAAATCCTTCAGAATCCATTTTATTTCATAGTAAACACAAAAATGTTTCACATGAACTTTAAAATCTTAACACATTTTAATGTTATTACCAACCCATGTTACACTAAATGTATTTTCAATGATTTTTGGATTTAGGAAAAACATTTTGTAATAATAGCCCCCCTTTTGGAAAATGTTTAGCCCCCGGGGGCGTTTAATAGGAATTTTACGGTAAATGCACACTATGTTCCAAATGGGAACACTGTACTGTACACAAGTGATTGATGAGATTTGTAGAATATTATTAAAACCTAGCTTACATCATCAGACCATAATGCTTTCTTTATGATTATCTCCACTTAAAAATATTCATTGAATAATTTATATGACCAACACATACTGACAAATATCTCCATATCCACAAATATAAACAATACCTAAATTAATTTTTTCATAACCTTCATTTTTAGTGTTATAATACACCTTAATACAAGCAATTATCATAGTATGGCAAGCAATCCATAAGTCCCCTACCGGTTAGAACCCCATCAACATTCTGAAGGGCCATTGGCCATTCACTAATGTTTCAATTTCTCTCTATTTTAAGTAAATTTCAGTGTTCAATCTAGAACAAATTCCCAGGGGGCCCTTCGGGCCCATAAACTTTTCAAAAGGGGGTCATTTGAGAAAAAAGGGGGCCCGCACTTAAAAGAACATCTGATTCAAATTAAAATAAGGTATTGTATCTTTTAAGTTACTTGTTCACGTACCATATATAGACTAAAAACGGTTGCAAAATTCCAAAACAATCAACTCATTAAAAAAATGACATTATTTTGACCATTTTTGAGAGTTCTGTTAGCGTTGATACAGGCTCAATTTTAAGAACTGATTGGTAAAGAAACGATGACATAATGTTCAAAGAAACATATTAATCTTATTTTAATGTTTAATACCATGGATATTTGATAATAATGTTCAGTTTTTTAATCAGCGCCCGATACAAAATGTATATAAAAGAAAATCATATTTCCCAATTAGCTTTGTTGATGAAGACTATAAACTTACAGTAGTCGCTAAAAACATTTACCCTTCTCAATATATCCAAACGAAAAACTAAGTGTCAACAGGTGCTAAGACAATGTATATTGACACACCGGTACCTTTGATCTTTTGTCAGGGCAGCAGTTCTTACGTCACGTGTATTGATTAATGATATGCACAATGTTTTAGCGCCGACCAGCCAAAGACCAATCAAAGTTTATTTACTCAATTGTCAGACACCCCCTAGCCAATCGTGTTTGATTAGCTCCATCTTTAAGACTTTTTTAATTGGATGAAGGCGTGTTCGTAATAATTTATGCACACTTCTCTATAATTATCTCGCACTTTTCACAAATATATAGTTTTTTTTCCTCCGACATATTTATTTGTTTTGACCGTGAAAAAATATAACTACACGCACGTATTGGATTATCTGTGACGATTTGTTTTGTTTATAAAAACTGTGACTCAAAAGTAAGTAATAGTTACGGTACGAAGAAAAAGTCTACATAGTATTTACAGACCCCGGCGGAGAGAGCGTAGCGATCAAGGTTTTAAAAGGGTTACCGAGTGCGGTAACGATCTTACCAACATGCTCTTGTTTTTCTATACAAACTTCAGTTTTGAATTCAGTATTTATTAATATTATTCACAAAAAACTTTTATTATTATATGTACTTATAATCAGGTTTAAGAAAGCATTCTAATGTCATTTAGGGCATTTTCTATGAGTGCGCCCATCGGGCCCACAGTTGAATTTGTTTTGCGCCGGCGGTCTTTTCAGGGGGTCAATGGCGCAATGGCGCGCTCTAGATTGAACACTGAATTTGTTGGAAAAGTTCTTTAAAAGTGATCACAGGAAACAGTTTTTATGAACAGACAGACAGACGGACTGAAGGACACTCTAAAGTTAATTTTTGAAACATCCCTGTTACCAAAATATAACATTTTAAAAGCAAAATATGATCAATATGTAATAACTGTTCAATCAAAACATCTTATAAAACAATAACTAACAGTTTTTCAGATTTGTTAAATTCTCCATCCAAAATGAAAGTACACATGTATACACGGATGCATTAGTATGGAGTATTTTCATTGGTCGTGTGAAAACCTTAGACCAATGAAAATACTCCGTACAAAAAAATAAAGAGGAGAGCACTCTGCAGAACAATTACTTGCATTTAGATTTGGAATTTGACATATTGGAAAACGGTTAGTTATAGTTTTATATGACGTTTTGATTGAACAGTTATTACAAATAATAATATAATTTGATCATATTTATATGCGCAATACAAAAAAATATTCATTCATTTCGAATAAACTGCCGTTTAGTCAGGTAATTTTGACAAAAACCCAGCGGTCAGGTCTCTGTCGAGTTACACTTGCGGTGTCTCCGAGATTACATATCTTCTTAAAACTTGAAATGATTGTAATGACAGCTTTAATTCCTTTAAGAGTAATCAATTCCCTACCATTTGGTACCAAGATATTGAAAATTGGTGAAAAAATGTTGGAGTTATGGAGTTCATATTAAGATGAGTGCTGAAAAATGAGCGGCGAGTTGCATACCTTTACTAAATATATATTATATCATTTTTTTATTTTTTGTGGGAGATGAAGGTAATTGAATTAAAAGCATGTACCAAATATTAAAACATGTTTAAAATGAAAAATACTCCAGTTTACATGGTTTTGAGAGGTAGGAGGGTTGTAGAGTGGGTGAGGGGGGGGGGGGGGGTGGGTTGGCCCAGGGGTAGTAAACCATCAACGCACTGAACACCTATGATATTAAGCAGATATATTTGAATATTATTATCTTAATTTATTGAACTTTAATAGAAATGGTCAGGTAAGATAATTTCACCCATTTTTTATTGTATTTACTCATTATATTTGCACTTTTATGGCTGCATTTTTATTGACGCTATACGTTTAAGATGAAAAATGGCATATCTTTTGGATATTCTGGGACCTTATATATAATGTGATTATTAGCCATAAGGCCACTTCTTTTTTTTTTCTTGGTTTACAAATTTTTTTTTTCAAAATGTCCACTGGGTGGTCGAAAAAAAAAAACCTCAAAAAGGTCCATCGGGTATATTTTAAAAAAAAAAAAAAATCTTGTATGGTGCACATAAAACACTATTTTGTCAAAAATAGTGTCATTCTTCTATTGACATGACTCATTGAACTGTACAGTTTAGTTCACTCCAGATATGACATTTCTAACAGCCTCAGTCACCAAGTCAGTGCTGGGCTAGCTCTTTAGAACGACATGGCCAAAGTGTCTGGAACGTTTGCTTGTTATAAAGCAGCACTTCTCCCGGTTTATACTGATCGGATGTGTGTCCGAACCGGTCCCGGCTGAGCATTTCGACGAAAAGAAAAATACAATTTAACAATATACTAGCAAATATATCGTAAATCAAACCATTAAATCTTCTCGAGGAAGGATACGGCTTATAGCCGTGCCGATGTCCTCATCAACGGCAGCCTTTAAAAAAGCCCGTCTGTTTGGCAAATCTTTAATTCCAACAAAATCAACTTGGAAATAAACAGTGCCGCTCAAGGGCGCCCCGCCATTGTTGTTTTACCATGAACTGTGGTAGTTATCCGAGGTAGTCCGAATGTTGTGTTATATAGATTCGTACTCAAAAATATTCGAATTTTCGTACTCATATTTATCGCGCTTATCAGATAATTTTTTTTGCATCGGGGGAAAAAAAAGTGGAAATTTCAGTTTTATTTTTTTTTCCAATTTACAAATATTTCGGGTCGCCGGTTTTGTAAACCAAGAAATATAAAAGAAGTGGCCTAATTAATTTAGTTTGCTACAAAGAAATAGGCGATAAAGTCCGAGTAATCGACCTACCTATTTATAGAGAGTAAGGGGGCAATACACAGTTTTCAAGGCTTCTCGGCAAACAACTGACTGCGCCACAATCAAAACCTCACACACAAGTCTGTAAACACACACCTGAAATAAATGCATTTCATATTTAACATCTACATATGTATCTCACAGCAAACAATTAAAAATACATGTCCACCTTCTAGTTTTCTGGCACATAGCCCTGTGTTTTTCATTGTTTTGGTCGCGAAAATCAACGACACAATATGCGGATTACCCCTATTCGCAAAATACAACAATGTATTAAAGTCAAAAGATTAAATCACAAGCAATAGTGTTTCTTCCTTCTTAACCAATGCACAATCTGAAAATAACATCCAAATGGGGTGCCATCCACCTACTTTTTTCACTCTTTTAAGTCTTCTGCATACCCTGTAAATTGAAGAGCTGATTCACCGGCTAGCTCCAAAAACCACACATTCGCATCCGGCAGGTACTCTCTCCAAATGCAAGGGTCAACGCCACTAAATTCAATTTTACTAAATAACTGAAACACAATACTAGTCACTGAAACTTGAAATATAGTAACTATAAATATTTAGAACCTCAAATATCAACTTCAATTTCAAAACTGCCTCTTATTTGTAAATTTGACCCTGGCCAATTCGCAACTAAACGGCCGATATTGTGTACTGCCTCCTAATCAGGGAGGTTATTCACTAACTTACTTATTCTTTACTGCCATGAGTTTTGTTTATAAATAAAAAAATAAAAAAAATAGACTTTACCCGGAATTTGGAGGTTACGTACCATGGAGGTTACGTACCACTGCATAAATGTACCATTTTTGGAGGTTACGTACCACTATAGAAATATATAATAAAGTGATAATAAGGGATAAGGCGTGAAACTATCAGGTTTATTGTTCAAAGTCGCACATTAATTGTATTAATTTTGTAATGAGATTAAATGTGTATGAATATAAAAGAATAAACAACAAACCAATTAACGATAATAAACAAGTTTTATTTACAACACAAAACTGAAACGAACAAACGATGAAAATAATTAATAACACTAATATAATTACACGCACTAAACTGAAATGAACAGTACAATGAAACAAACCACGGTGAATATAAAAAAAAATACTTTTCATTTATAGTATTATTTTTTTATTAATACGCTTTTCACTGAAATTAACTGAAATAAACAAAATAATCAATAGCAATAATAATATTTCATATGCATGTTAATATACCGGACAAAATTACTTACCTTGGAAAAAAACAAGCGTTACATATTTATACATTTACATTTACAAGTTTTATTTACACGTTAACTGTGCAAAAAAAATGAAAATAACAATAATTATGTTACAATTAACAAGTATTTTTAAAAATACTTTTTGAGTTTTATTTATCCGCACTGAATAATAATAATATAGTGAAATAAACAAGACAAAATAATTGATAACAGTACATATGCAGGTTACGTTTTATTTACAGACTCATATATAAAAACACATAATTATGTTACACGCTCTGAAATGAAACAACAATACACAACAAACAAGTATTTTTTAAAAATATTTTATTTATACGCACTGAATAATAATAATATACTGAAATAAACAAGACAACATAATTGATAACAGTACAGATGCAGGTTACGTTTTATTTACAGACTCATACTCGTATATACAAACACGTCAATTTATATATTTTTCAGCTCCACTAAACCGCTCCTGGATGCTACTGTCTTCTTGATTACTCATTTCTGAATGTGTGATAATCATATATAAAACGTTTGCATTTATATTATTAAAATTGCTCATATGTGATTTTTAAAAAGTAATAATAAAGTTTTAAATTTCGGTCTTTTTTTTTATAATTGTTATGCTCTATATTATTTGTATTTTATATAAATTATATATATGGTACGTATCCTCCAAAACATATAAGTGGTACGTAACCTCCAAAAATGGTACGTAACCTCCTGGTACGTATCCTCCGTGGTACGTAACCTCCAGTAATCCTTTACCCCACCCAGTCATGCAGTGTCTTACTGCAATTTTTAACTGGCCATATTTCTTTATCTGAGCATTGTCATAATAAAATGTGAACAGTTCTTATAAAACAGGAGTAATTGCAACATTTTTACAACTTACACCAAGGGAAATACTTCTTCACTGGCAAAAAATAACTGAATATAGATCTATATCTAAACTACACACAATTCTGTAAACGGAAGTTGACAATGGCAGGGGCGTAGCTTGAAAGAAACCAATGTGTAGGCACTTGTGTTAGGGGGGTTCGGGGGCATGCTCCCCCGGCAAATTTTGAAAATCTACATTGCCGTAGCTGCATTCTGGGGTATGTTAAGGCATGTTCTGAAGGAAGAGTATTCATAATTTTGCTGATATTTGGTTACATTTTTTTCCATCAATTTTAAGATGACCATACTTATATCACTAACTCAACGCAAAATACTATGATATTTTGGCAAAAAGAGCTTTTTTTCCGTATATAGTTTTGGGTAATAATATATGAATCCAAAACTATACATTTAAAAAGAACATTTTTTTTTTGCAAATTTTTAAGCAATCATTAAAATTTCAAATTCAAATTGAGGTTGTCTAAACATATAATTAGAAAATAATGAAAACAAAAATCAACAAGATCGAACGCCATTAACTAAATGCACCCCTTTACACATGACAATCGGTTGATAATACATTTTCTCAATAAGATTGTATGTTCCCTGAAAGCCTTAGTGAAACATATACATAGAACATAGAATAGACTGTTTACGTGAAGTCAAACATATAAAGAAAGTAAAGACAAAGTAAACTTACAACTCCAGTACGTAACCTACAGTAAAGTGAAAAATAGAATTCCGAAGAACTTTTATTATCAAACATTTTTTGTAATTTCAATGAACTATTTCGCGCGAAGTAGTGTCAGAATGTTCAGAAATCTATTTCACAATTGTAAGAATTATTATCAGTGCGAATGAACTTGGCATGTCAGAACGGTCATATTCATTTACATGTACATGTACATGTTTATTTTAAAAACTAAAAAATCGGATATTTTCAATCATGTTTTTCCTTACATTCTTTCTTTCTTTTAATAATTCTCCATAAGTTCCCTAAGTCTCTCTATAGTGATAATTCAACAATCAATTATTCTCTTATTTTTTCGCTGTACATTTAAAGAGCTTACATCTATCCGCAACATTTTGTACCTTTATTTTGCTGGAGAAGTATTGTTTCAAATCTGAATTACATTGTTGTGAAATGTTTGTAAATGTTACTTTGTGTGCAATTTAATGAATAAATAAAGTTTCATTAAAGTATAAATTAAAAAAGAGAATTAAATCGCCACCTTTATAAGCAAACTCTCCACAAGTACGATAATTAATGCATATTTTGATGTGTATTCGAACACATTACTTGTATATATATCTATTATATATAATTAAAATACATTTTAAAATAATTATGTAATAACACAGATTATGTTTCACGTTTACTTCAAATCGACTTGTGCTCAAGATTTGACGGAGATGCAGTTTGAACAGAATAATGTACAAATAATTAAATCATGAATACCTTAAGAAGGGAAGAGAATATAAAAGTCAAGATGTCTAGGCTTCATTCGAAAGATATCGCTTAGCTTCCTCATCAGTTATATAAAGCTAGCACTACTGATATCTGGATATGGCCGATCATTGTCGTGCATACTTGTAATATTTATATTTTGAATCGAAGCGCTCAAAATCTTTTATATTGTCAAAAACGTCATCCGTCTCTGATAGGTTTTACCACAGAACAACTTTATAACACGGCAACACTTTAGTTATGAAATAAAACTTGATATAAAGAGTATAAAACTCGATTGGGGGCATATAATGTTCTAATATTTGGACCTACACATCTACCGCCCTTACCCTAAAAATTTTATCGCATTTTTGTAATAATTTAATTTTTCATTTCTGAGGAAAAAGTGTAGGCACGTGCCTATAGTGCCTATAGGAAGCTACGCCACTGAATGGGAAAAGGCGAAAGTCTTTACGAATTACCAATCTCCTACGACGAAGTGATCTCAGTGATTACAATCTGCCAAGGGAGGTAATCACTGTGAGGAGTTTGACGAATTACAAGGGGCGCATTTGTTGCCGATAAACTTAGTTTGGTTTCAAACCCGTTTTGTAAACCCTACATTTGTTTTTTAGTTTTTCACTTAAACTAAAACTGATTTAGTTGTTTTTTTTAGAAGCGGAAACAAGAACCGGTTTAGCAAACTGACCAAACTGCCTCCAGGTGCAGTTTGATCGGTACATACACATGCACTTTCTTGGAAAAATGGCGGCAGCCAAACATGAAGGAATGTTGGACCAAAATTCAAATCGGTAATTGACAAATGAGCATAATTTTTTAAACATTTTAAGCAGAACAGTAATGTTACTTATTAGTTGCAAAGTTGTATGACACAGCTTATAATGCTTTATATTAAGTATATACAGTAACTTGTGATGTTGCATTTATAATCTAGAAGTATAGACGAAACGTACTCGAGTCTCAACGTACCCAGCATTAAAAAGTCAAAGTAGAGATCTACTTAACATATATCACAAAATATTCTCTTCTATATTTTAGTTTTAATATTTAAAAAGTAGCTATTTATGTGATGAAATTAAGTATTCTTTAATAATTTACTTCTCACTCTCAGTCCTGTAATAAATTACGTTGAACTGTTGAATTATTATTTTCTAAGGATTGAAGTCCCAAAATGTGTAAGTTAAGGCTATTATTTAGAAATTATATTTTGATGTAAGGTATTAAAGATGGTGATTGAATTAAGCTTAAAGGTGAAGGTAACCACCCGGCCACAGACACCCCTAAAATACTTTAATTGTGATGTGTACTGTAATATTTAAGTGGCAATGCAATACGTATCACAATTACTGTCATCCTTGGAAGTCAATTCCTAACCTATATATGTCAGTGTTAGAAAAAGAGTAATAAATTATTAATAACCATTTAATGACAACTTTTTTTTAAATGACAAGTTGTATGTCAACTAGGGTCTTACTACCTCACACGCAGCCTAAATTGCAATGAAAGATGACAACAATATCATAATAGGAATATTCATCGCATTATTTAATCTGACAAGTCACAATTAGTATATGTTTGACATTTCCATTTCCTGAAGTGCTTTTGAATTGGCTATCTATTAACACTTCAGGAACAAAATAGGTAATCGCTATTGACCCACCATTAGCGGTAGGTACATTACGGGGACACTAGTGAGGAGAGGTTACGGTAGAAACCGTAAGGTTACGGTAATAACCGTAACTCCGCCCTCTACATCCAACATGGCTACTGTAATAACAAAACGGTACCACTAAAATACGCAACGGAGATTTTTTTGCGCAACGGACGCAACGGGCGCAACGGAGATATTTTTTTAAAAAAAAACCGGCACAACGCCTTTTTTTAAAGTCAATGTGCTATATTTAAGCATCTAAAATGATTGTTTAGCACTATTAAGTAAGTATGTTTTAAAATGTTTCATAAATTGTATATGTTTAGTTGCACTGAAGGGATATATGCCTGGCGAAATGGAAATTTCATGGCGCAACGGAGATATTTTTTAGAAAAAACGGACACAACGCCTTTTTTAAAGTCAATATGCTGAATTTGAGCATCTAAAATGATTGTTTAGCACTTTTAAGTAAGTATGTTTTAAAATGTTTCATAAATTGTATATGTTTACACTGAAGGATTATATATGCCTGGCGAAATGGAAATTTCATGGCGCAACGGAGATAATTTTGGAAAATCGGCACAACGTTTGTACTAATATATGAAATTAATTAACACCAATGTTATTTGAATAAATAAATTAAAAAAAAAATATTTAAAAACCTTAATCGTATATCAAATAATCAAATAGCTGCAATGTTGATGTTGTAAAGGGTAGTGTGCCGGAGAAATGGACATTTGGTCTGCGCAACGGTGATTTTTTTTTTTTTGGCGCAACGGAATTTAAAAAGAAAACAATGTTTGTCCTAATTAAGTTGTAATATGAAGAAGTAAATCATTAAAGATATTAGCTGAATTACTCAAGTGGTGTAATAAAAGTCTGTTTTATTAATTTAAAAATGGAATTAAATACGTTTTTATCGTTATGGCTAACACTGAAAGACAAGTATGGATTTTACAATCTGTTTCATTTTTTCCCTTTCAATCTGTTAGTACTCGTTTAAATTTGATCCTATAATTTTTTAACTGTAAAAATTATTTTCTTATTTCTGCTGCCGGGAATATATAAGCAAATCACTTTATTTGTTAAAAGCATGACCAGTAGCAAGCAATTTGCTAACCATATTACATTATCTTTTTAATAATGATTGAAATATTTTATGCATTTTTAAAATTAAAAATAGTATAGTAACTATACAAAATATTAATTGTTTGATAAAGTTATTAAAATAGTAAAACGACATGCATGTTACTCAGAATTTGCTGTTCTTTCTATTGCCATTTTAAAACAGTAAAAAAACATAAAATAATACTTCCCCGATCAGAAACCCCGTTAAAATCAAATGCAGCTACATTTTATTTAGCGAAACAACAGCAAATATGGTGATTTGAAGAATGTTTATCACGGGTGTTAAGTACCGATAATTAAATTACCAATGACACGTGGTTGATGTTTATTGGACACACGTTTTCACACCATTTAGATAATGTGATTAAGAGGAACATGTATTGACTTTAAGGTATTAAATATTTTTCTATAACTTGTGATTTGTCGAAAATATTGCTTTTGAAGCTTATTATGCCAATATTTCACTCAAACTATGAGAAAAAATGTGTATATGAAATGTGAGACGTAATAAAACTTTTTGGAGTCTGAATCCACCACTGATGACGGTCAAGTTTTCTATTACAAGTGTTAAAAACATTATTAAACACCCGTGCCATACACGTGCACGATACGTTGCTAATTGCTAACAATTCTCGTGTAATTGATTACTTTTTGTCAATATCATAATTATGAAATATTTGGATTGCTTTTGATGAAATATACAATGTATACGCAACAAACAATTATTGAAAAAGTACACAATGATTAATGAAAGATAATAAATTAATAAAATAATATAATATGATAAAACTGTTATGATAATCCCCGTTGCGCCGAAATAGTCCATTTCGCCGTAATTTAAATATCTTT